TATTTTGTCAGACAATCAGTCTAAAATTAATAAAGACTGAATATAAATGTATTATATAATAGAGAAAGTTCTATTTTTACTTGACAAATGGATCAAATAATCAATTTATTATCAAAATGTTTGGCAATTAATTCACTGTTGACTGACTAATCATTTGAGCTCTGAATTGGTTATTCATTTAGGTCATTTATCAAACAAACAAACAAACAACATAAACCCTAAACATTTGCTAGTTACAGCTGCTAAAATGTGAGAATATGCTACTTGTGTTGTTGTATTATACTGTAATGTATATTGTATGATTCTAGTTTGAACAGCTGATCTGACAAAATGAGCAAACTTAAGACCTCACCATTAGCTCTGGGGACACATTTTACTATTCTCTTTACATTTACTGCATAAAATGATTAAGCAATGAATGAAAACATTGGTTGAGGTTCCAAGCTTGTCACTGGTTTGTCCAATCTGGAGTTGTTGCATGCCAGTGGCGGTGGTGTAACATAATTAGGTAATAATATTTTGTTTGTTTGATTTCCAGTCAGGCCCAGGCTGCATGTCAGATTAGATTCTACATGCTAGTGACTACTTTCTTTAAGTTATGAAGATGTTTTTCTTCCAAGTGTAATACACTTCATTTTTACATGTTAAGAATAAATAAATGTCACAATTCTCAGAATTCTGACCGCTAACTTTTTTTATTACCAGCATTTACTTTCAATTTTTAATTACATTTACTATGATAAATTAGTTTTGATACTTAAGTAAAGTAAATATTACTCAAGTAATATTTTAATAGGTGACTATAACTTCTTCCTATGTAATTTTCTAGTAAGATATCTGTAATTTTACTCAATATGGTTTCAGGTACTTCATCCACCACTGACCTCCCCCTTTTTGTTGTCTACTACAGGCAAGAATAATTTCAGACCTTGACAGTTTGGTTTAGAAGATATAGTCAGTTTATACAAGTATGGATACTGTCAAATGATGGCGGATAGCATCTTACATTTTGATCATGAGGATATGTTAATTTAGAGTAAATGTTTTCCTGATATTCAAGACTGTGTTGTAGTTAACTGACACTTATTTCACTTTAACAGAGCATCAAATATTGTCCCATGAATGAGTAAAAAAAAAAAAAAATTAACAGCAAATGCTGCTGGTTTTACTTTTCTGCAACACAAATCACGAGTCACCATCCTGCGTGACTCCAATTACACACAAGCCAAACACACACACAACAAAAAACAGTCGTGCTGCAGTTCATGTGTGTGTGTGTGGACGTCAAACGGCTGAACACACACACACCAGGGGTCACTGACCAAATACATAAATCTCTGAGTAGACTCACGACCTAAACTGAGGGCACGCACAAAAGCAAATGTTCTTTTTTTGTCATATTCATAAAGCCACACGTGCGCCAGATTCTGTTTCACGTATCTCAATCATAGTGGAAACGGGCGCACGTGCACGAGCCTCATTTCTCCTCCCATGGATAGCCATACATGGATGTAGAAACGTGGATGTACACTGATCATTACCAGGGAGATGATGACTCAAATATGAATAAAAAGAACTGTGAAATTAAATCACTCATAAGTTTACAAAGGTGCCTGTGGCTGACATTTAACAATATGATGTGCAGCTCGCAAGTATACACAATCAGTGAAATTATTAATAACCTAAAAACAATGTTACCCATCTCTTATCTTATATTCAATCTCGCCCTTATCATATCACCCACAGTTATATCAGCAGCGTGCGCCTGGTGTAAACTATGCGTAATGTGCGCACATTCTCACCGCAGTTTGTGCGTACGGATCGCCTATACATCTGGCCCCTGGCTGCTGCATACAGACAGTTACGGATGGCTGGCAAACAACAGGATAATATGCGGCACTGAGTGACAGGCATCCCCCTTCCTCCTCCCATACACCATCCACCAGCAGCCGCTAGCCCTACTCTCCGCCTGCTGCTGATGGAGGTTAATAGCTCAGCTGCTAGCTAGCTGGTGTAGAAACACACCGCAGTGAAGGGAGCGAATGGAAAACAGTCAAATGTTACATAAATATAGAAAGTGTCGGTGGCTGAAGAAGGGGAAGCGTGTGGTGGGGGTGTCGAAGAGGAAGGAGACAATGAATGGTTGAAGCTTAGCTATGTTATTCGACCCATCATCCTCAGTAGTGATGGCATTCAGCGATGTAAAACCTCTGCTGCCCCAAAAAGACTCAATAACTACGGCTTTAATCTCTCTCTCTCTCTCTCTCTCTCTCACTCACACACACACACACACACTCACACTCTCTCTCTCTCTCTCTCTCTCTCTCTCTCTCTCTCTCTCTCTCTCTCACACACACACACACAATAACCGGGGCTAGTGGTAGTAGAGCTGCTAGCTAACGTCGCGCACACACACACTGATTGTATTGTCCCTGCCGGTGTCTCTCTTCGTGCCCCTCACGCGACTGTTGGGATTCACACTCAGACCCCTAACACGAGCCGTTTGTCATAAGACACCTTAAGCAACAAAAGGCTACACTCACAATCGGTTTGGACTGGGATAAAGTAGTTAAAATTTAAACCCGCGGCCCGCTAGCTAATACAAATGCATGCACTTACCGCTTGCTGTCCCAGTTCACGACGGGAACGGAACTTCCGGTACTGGCAGCACACAAGCAGGCGGCGGGGACAGAGCGTAGAGACGTCATCACATAACAACGCCCAACCGTGGATAGCAACATTTTCTTATCACGACTGTCTTCCCTCATAAAATACAGATATAGTGTCAACAAATTATCAACATACAGGGGTTGAAAACTATTTACTCAATAACTCTATTTTAATTGATAATACTTGGCACTTAATACTTCAATTCCATCACATTTATCTTACAACTTTCCTAAGTTGATCTACTTTTCAAATTCAGGTTTGACATTTAAAACATATGAACTGCTTTTAAAATCTGATACACTTTCATAACATCTAGCCCAAAATCATCAATAATCGTAATCCAGTATTATAATATAGCACACCTAATTTTGATACTTAAAGTAGATTTTGCTGATAAATAATGTAGTCTTAAAATAAACTGTTGAATTTGGGACTTTTTGTAATGAAGTTTTTTTTTTAAGTGGGGTATTGCTATTAGCTTACATAAAATACAAATATAATCATATCATCTCGATATGTGATCAATATAGAGTACTTAAAGTATATTTACTAATTTACTTGCTACCACTTGTTACTTTATGGGTTATTTCCCTATATTTTAGAGGCAAACATTGCGCCATTATTTCCACTACATTTATTTGACGACTATAAGTTACTATCTACTTTTCAGATTCTGGTTTTACCTTTAAAACATTTGATCTGTTCATAAAACACTGTACATGCTTATAAATGACGCTACTACCAACATCTGGCTTAAGATTGTCATAGTGATCAGATATGATAATATAGCACCCATACTGTACTTTTGATACTTCAAAAACATTTTGCTGATAATACTTGTGTTGTTTAAAAAATAAAATGTTGAATTTGGGACTTTTTCTGTAATTGAGAGGTTTTTTTACGATGAGGCATTGCTTTTAGCCCATATAAAATAAAAAATATATCAATGTATCTCGAGGAGTAAGTAAAGTATATTTACTAATTTACTTGATACTACTTGCTACTTTATACTTTAACGTTACTACATTTCAGAGACAGAAACTGTACTGTTTACTCCATTACAATAATTTCTGTGCTGTACTTTCTGGTTACTTTATCAGATAAGACATTCAAAACATATAATCTCTATATAAAACATGATACATTGTTACAGATAACACCACAACATTTTGCTGAAGATAATCAATGCATAATCAATTATGCCATATTTATTATCTATGCTGTATTCAACATTTGCACATATTATCTTATCTTTGTTGTATATATTTTCATTATTGGTTGCATCAATTGTATTTTTAATGTTTATATTATATTTTTATTCCAAGCACAATACTAGAGGGGGCACAATATAGAGATGTATTGAGCATGGATTAATTACTGAACGGGCCCAACGGGCACAGGCCCAGGGGCTGAAAGTGTCAGTCCTAACACAGCTCTAGTCTACTGGCAATGGGAAAGGAGTCTATTTCCCAATCTAAGCTGCTTTAAAGATACAAATGAAGTGCAAAGAGAAAAAACATATAAACAAAAAGGGGAAAAACAACCACAAAGGGACACCAAATGACCAAAAAAGACAACATCAAATATATAAAACCACAAAAAGATGCATGATAATTACAAAGAGACTTAAAATCACCACAAGGTCTCTGTCTTTCCCTGACGTACGTGGTGGGGCCTTTTGCATACCTGTGCCCAGGGTCCTGTCTCATAATCTGCCAGTGATGTTGAGAATGTGACAAATAAAAACTTAAAAATCAACAGCAGCAGGACCAGTCTAATAAGTAGTGAAGTATTTTAACATTGCTGCTTTTAATTTGGTAAATAATCTGAATAGGTTTTCCACCACAGTCTGTGCTATTATAAGAATAACAGATATGAGCTATACATCCCTGTAACAGTATGACTGCAACATTTCTTTGTGACATTGTTGGTAGCTGTACAGTCTATATGAAAAATGAGATTTTAATACACTTATATTTGTGAATTTTCAGTATAGGTTTAAAGCAACTGGTTGCTCACTTTTATATTTCTGTCTTCTTTTGTTTGTATTACATGGACTCCCTGAAGTCGTCAAAAACAGTCTGAAACACATGAATATTATACTGCCAGACTTTAGTGCAATCTGTATGAGTAGATACCACTAAAGGTAAGTGATTTTTTATTATTCTAAACTCAAATATTTTCATAAATATTTGCTTTTAAAAAGTTCTGAAAAAGTATCTTGTAAATTAATAAAATTAACAGTATGTAGACATCATCACTATCAAATCAGAGAGCAGACATTATGTTGTTAAATCATTTCAGTGCACGGTTAAGCATCAAACACACAATTCTTCCATTTTGCTGCATTTTAATATAGCAACATACTTGGAGAGCTCAAACGTCACATTTACTGACATATGGTCCTCCACACTGAGCTTATACATTCCCATAAATTTCCTCACAGGCTGCTGCTCACTGCATGACAACACACTGCATTACTAACGTAGTGAATTCAAAGATGATATCACTCCTCTGTGAAGGAAAATAGAAGGAATGAAGGTAAAAAGATCATTTTTAGGGAGTTTTTGGGGGGTAAGCTTTGGTCACATGGCAATGTGGATGTGGCATGTTTCTATTTAAGCGTAGAGAAATCACACAGGCTGTTAAAACAGAACTCTGCTGCAGGAAGTCTTGGATGTGGTCCAAGCCTGAGTCTCAATTCTTCATACAGGCTTCCTGAACGTCAATTCCCTCGACTCTACTAACATTCTCCCCCTCATATGATGGCAAATTTATTTAATTAACTGAGTCAATGTATCAATCAACCACTGGGAACTCATCTCATCACACAGATAAACTGAGGACAAACAAAGAGAGCTTTTTGGACTAAAGAAACCCATGGAAGATCTACACTGAATTTTTTTTCAATGCATCATTTGTTATTGTTCCCATTTTTCACAGGTTTAAAATAAAGACTTTTCTTAAGAACTCAATAGATATATTTCTCTCGAATCTTGGTCCTAAATTTGTTAAAATCTGTGGTAGTGAGCACAAGATAATCCATCCACCTTGCAGGTGTGGGATATCAGGACACTGATTAAACAGCATCATTACTACACTGGTGTGTCTCATGATGGTCACAATAAAAGGCCACTCTAAAATGTGCAGTTTGATCATACAATATGATGCCACAAGTTTTGAGGGAATGTGCCATTGGCATGCTGACTGCAGGAATGTCCACCAGAGCTGAACTGAATGTTAATTTCCCAACCTTAACATATCTCCAGCATCATTTCCCTGAATTTGGCAGTACATCCAACCAGCCACCCAATTAGCCAGGGAAGGTGACATGTTACAGCAGCCCAAGAGTCAGAAGCAAGATACAAAAAGCAAAAAAAGTGATTGAGTGCTAAAAAAGGAAAAAATATTACAATAATAAAAATTAGATGAAATAAAAACAAAAGAGTGTAAAATCTGTATACATTATATACACCTTTCACTTATACAGACACTGTTGCACAGGATAACTGAAATACACACATGGTGTGTAGCATATAGACAAGCACAGTATATTGTGAAAATCTAGAAAATACAGCCTAAAGATATTATTGCACCTAGGTGGTAAAATATTGCACAGTTGGAAGTTGGTTATGAAGCCAAGCTACTGTCAGCTCAAGACCCTGGTAGGGACGATGAGCATACATATGAGCTTCCCTGAGACGACTTCAGACAGTTTGTGCAAAAGCAACTATCGCATCAGCTGTGTGTGACCACATGTGGTCTGTGGTTGTAAGGCTGATTGGATTTACTGTCAAATTCATAGAAACAACTTTGAAAATGTCTTATGGTTCATTCAGTCATTCAGTTGACAGGCTACAGCTCTGGTGGAAATTCCTGCAGTCAGCATGCCAATGGCACGCTCCATCTGTGGTGTTGTGCTGTTTGATCAAACTGCACATCTTAGAGTGGCCTTTAACTGTGACCATCCCAAGATACACCTGTGTCATAATGATGCTGTTTAATCAGCATCTTGATACGCCACAACTGTAAGGTGGATGCATTATCTTACAAAAGTACACATGCTCACTAACAAGGATTTTAACAAATTTGTGACCAAAATTTGACAGAAATATATAAACTGAGTGCATAAAAAGTCTAAGATCTTAAAATCTTCTATCTGAACCTGTGAAAAATTTACAAAAGCAAGTGTTGAATTAAATTTTTGTTCAATATAATAATACTAAACCACTAGGTGGCAGAAAATATCCAGAGCTAGTTAGAGGACAATGTGTTGACTTTACAAAAGACAACTAATGGAGTATTATAGGTATTATTTAAATTTGTACACATTTAAAAAGGTGCTCATATGTCCAGAGCTGCTTAAAACATATATCTTCTGACTGTAATTAGGCAGCATCTTTCTTTTTTCGTAGATGTTTGAGAGCAACTGAAGTTTCTTTACATGTACCCAAAAGTCTTCCTGAGAAGCTGATTATGAATCAAAGTTGTAAACATGGCAACAAAAGTCTCTAATTAATCAAACAGTACCATCATTTATTTCCAGCCTTCCATGATTTATTTAGTAGCTGTGACTTTATTGAACTGGTGGACATCTTTAAACATGTATCGGATTATACAGGTTAAACTGATAGCAACAGACTTTATCTGAGTGTCAATTCATGCATTATTATTAAGCTTTTTGCCCACAATAGACCTTCACTCTTTCTTGCCATAGAAAACATAGCAACAACTTGGCACTTCCAAACACATCTAAAGCTCTCTGGTCTTCAGATTTCAGTGCTCAGACCCTGTCGATCTTGAACCAACCTGCTGCGACGCAGTGTTGATCTCATCTTTGACTTTTTGTCAATGACAAAAACCGAAACAGCTCCTCATCCTTCTCCTCTCACTCCTCACTCTCTGAAGCTTCTTCAGGAAATGAAGTTGGTTTGTGGGATGATGCTCTCCACTTTGTGATCTGCAGGGTTCGCTGCGGCCTCATAGTTACAGATCGTCACTTCGTGTCTGTGAGCCTAAAGAACATAAAAAGGACAGGTCAACAAACATTCAAAGATATAGAGTGTATAGTGTTTCTAGTTATATCTATTAATAAAAGGAAAGACAGGGCTAGGGAGGGGGAAACAGCTGGTAATACAATTCTGCTATGTGTATTTGTTACAATGTCAACTTAATTTATTTAAACACAATGGGAGAATGGCAGGAATGGTAAAATGCTGAAAAAAAGACTGCCAGACTATCAGTTCATTGTTGAGTCAAAGTTGCAAGTGTGCAAAATTTCAAGAAATTCCCTCAAGGTGTTCCTGAGATGTAAAGTTCACAAAAATGGGACAGACGGACTGACAGATAGACAGCCTCAACACATAAGGCCTCATATCACGGCTTTTGGCAGTGTGGAGGCACAATAAAACTGTGAGAAGCCCTGACATTAAGCTTCAAGAGAGTGACAACAAACAGTCAAAGACATAAAATGTACCAGAACGTATGGAGCAAACAGGATCTAATCAAACTAAACCGAGCACCCAGCAACAGCACCAGGTTTTGAAGGCAATTACACACAGTGGTCAAACCGTACAATTTCAGGTCCATCACATGATGCCCAGAGAGACATCAAAATATTCTGAGAAAGAATCTGCCCCCGGGATAAAAGATGAGTCAAAATAATGTCTCCTTTCAGTGCAGTCATGATATGACGCACATAGACAAACCAAGAACAACTGGGGAAAAAAACTGAGGTTAATCACTTCATCTGTCCTGGACGCAGAGTCTCGAGACAGTCCGGACTTAATTCCTACATTAAGGAACTCATCAAGGATTAAAAAAGCCAGCCACTTTGAATACAACAATCCTGGAATAAATCCTCCATTTCTGAAGGTTATAATGTAAGTTTTTGTTGAGAGGCATTGACTGATAGTTTGCTCAGAGGAGTTTCTAATATTGAGTGTATCCTCACTTATACATTTGTATCTACAACATTATTAGGATATTTTAGATGATCAGAAAAAAAGAGGAACAAGCTCACCTCTGAGTATTCTCCTCTCAGACCGATGTAGTAGATCCTGGTGCTCTCTGCTCCAAAGTTCTTTGAGATGTGGATGGAGAGATGGTTAACATTGGAAAAACGAGCGATCCTGGAAACCAACAGGAAAGACACTTCAGTTTGAGACAACAGATTAGGAATGCATACATACTCAAAACAGGCCACAGTGAACTGTAGTGACACTGTGGTAAATATATTTGTGAAGGAGAAATTAAACATGTCCATCCCGAGCCATGGCATGTTGTGTTTGTGTGTGTAAATGAAACTGAAACACATACACATGCGGAGACAAGCATGACTTACTGGCACAAACAGAAAGAAAAGCAGAGAGTTGGTTCCACTTGTGTTTTGAACGCTTCTTTGACCAGATCACGAAGATCGAATTTCACTGCATCTTACACCTACCATACACTAGAAAACGTTTATTTTAAAACACTTAAGTCTGACACCATCTCCCATCTTAAGACAATGTGAGTTTTTAGTCACACCCTATAAGATTTTACAAAGACTGTGGATCTTGCAGGGTCACTTTTTGCAAGACTACAACTGGATTCTTTTTGATACTATTTCCAATCCTGCTCCTGGTGGAAAATATTAAGCCAAACCACATAACACTAGAAGCACAAGATAAAAGACGTCACATATCGACGGTGTTCTTGTCAATTTGGCATGAATATAATCCATAAAGATAAACTGTATTGGAGCACAAACTTTAAATTTGGGATTTTGCCGACTCAACTCAATACCAGCCTTGGTTAGTTAGCTGCACTACTTTAGTGGGAGGAGAGTGTGGGAATGAGAGGTTAACCATTTAAAATTAAGACTGCTCACTAAAATAAGTGCTCGTTCAAGGATCAGATACACGCCAAACTACACACAAACTCCTGCTCACTCCACAACTCCACCAGTTTCTCTGACTTTTCCACTGAGAGCACTGAGACTTGTTCACATTCTTGTGCATGTCCAGAGTCTCCTCTATGTTGACTGTCTACCTGGTTAGCTGCATCCTGTTTGGTGCAAGAGAGAGTGCAGCTATTGGTTGTTGACAATGTTCATGTCATTGAACTTCAATATTTGCATGAGCCAAGAATACAAACTTACAACAATATTAAACATGTTGGATTTTGTCAAGATGTGATTAAGACGTGATTAAGACTGACTAAAGATTGCCTGCTTGCCTGCAGTGGGCTTTTCAACAGACATCTTCCTGTAAGCTTTGTCAGCAGTGAGCTGGTTGCGGCTATCAGTGTCCAGCTAGCTGCCACAATGTGTGTAGGCTGAGTCCTTACTTAGCAGCAACCAGGGTTCAAGTTTGCAAATCTGCAGCCCTTTGCTGCGTGCCATCCTCTCTCTCTCCTCTTTCCTCTCTCTCTCCAAGCATCTATAATAAAGTCAATAAAAGCCCTAAACATTAACCTAAGACAAAGAAGTAGCAGCCATTGCTCTGTTTCTCATCATCCTCATTATCATCAGCTCACAAATTCGCTGGCTTCAACTACACATTAACTTAGAAAGGAAATTGCAAGTGTCTCCATGTTTACTTCCATTCAAATGCATGTAACAGCTTTGTAATTGTTCTTGTTCTTGTTCCACATTCTGATCAATGCAGGGTGCAGACCAGTTCACACGGGAATATAACATTGGCATCATTTAAAAAATAAGATGAATGTAGCCAAAGTGTCAAACTCAGACTGCAGATGTCTTGAATGTTCCGCTCACTGAGATCTCATTAGTGTCTCCAATGTTGATTTGGGAATTTGGTGGGACTAACAGTTCCTGCTTGAGGGCTGCAAGTTGCTGAAGTGATAAAAAACACTGTGCATGCTCTCACTTTGTTGGGTACTCTAGCTCAGCAGCAGGGTCTCTGTTGAGTCTGAAGGCTTGTTCGGGTTCTCTGCCAGTATCGTCGAAGGACATCTGAGGGATGTTCTTATACCTGGAGTGGAAAATATGTTAATGAAATCACTGCCCTCTAGTGAGGGAAGGCACAGAGGCACTTTAACTATAGTTTTTTTTCTTGAAGGTTTTCATTTCTTATTTTAAAAGGACTTCAAATCCCATCAACACCTGTTTTTGTATAATGAAGACAGTTTATTTATGAACTAAGATTTTAGGGTGTCCACATGGCCTCGGGGGGTTTAGGTCCCCAGTTCAAATCCAGCCAGGTTAGCTCCCTAATCGAAGAAGCACTGAAAGCACACTCACAGTCGAATCTCAGCAGGATGAGAATCATCATCTTCTCCAGATATGATGATGCCCTTCAGCTTCACGCTCCCTGTAAAACTGAAAGAGATGACACACAGTTCCTTCACTGCTAAAACAGGGTGAAATCACACAGAGGCGCTTTCAGGACCAAAAAAGCAAGGCGTGAACGACAAGAAGCTGTAATGAGAATTATGAAAAACCAAAAATGAAATTATAACCAGAAACATTTTAGAGTTTAACTTCTTACTATCAGTGAAAAAAAAAACTTGTTGCCAACTTACATAAAAGCACATTTCATAATTATAGCTGCTGCGCAGCAATGGTTGAGGCTGGGCAATTTTAGGCAATTCTGAGCAACAAGCAGATAGGAGGATGAAAAAAGGTGGCCTTCTAAGCATAAGAGACTATGCTCTATCTCACTGAGCTTATTAGCAAGAGACAACTCTTGGGTATATATATTTAAAACTTCTTCTAGCTCATTATACTGATAAGAAGTCATAATCTATTTCATCATAAAACACTGAATGTGTGGTATATGTAAAAGCCCTTGTGAAAAATGTAATACACACACACACTAAAACAAAGCATATCACAACATAGACGTTACATCATATAATTATGGCATGCCCTTCAAATTGTGGATGAGTGGCTGAAGTGATCAGACTCATAATATACAAAGGAAAGAAAAAACTCAAGAACAAGAAAGTAAGAATAACATTAACTGCCAGCAATTATGAACAAACTGGCCTGATCTAGCTTAAAGCTAAACATTATCCATGGTGACAAAGATGAAAACATTTTTTAAAATGTAAAAGTAGCTATTGGATAGACTCTGTATATTGACTGATAGCTAAGCCAAATAAACAGGGAAAAGAGACAAGGGATAACAGGGAAAGGTGTTGATAAAGAGTATTTGTCTCTCCACAAAACTGCCTGGATCATAATTATTTTAACCTTGGTAGTCTCTAATCCACATAGCATGATGCCTGAACATAGGACTTTCACATTAGAATGTCCGTTCTGCCTCAGCTGAGGCTTGAACTCACAACTTCTGAGACTGAGGTCTGTCTTCTATCTCACTGAGCTAATTGGCAAGTGACAGCTCCTGTGTGGCTTCACAAACTGACTAAGCCAAGCATCAGGGTGCCAGACAGTAGCCATCCATGCCATGGAAAAACAAATTTCAAAGTGAAAGTTCCAAAGCTGTAGCACATATGGTTGATTTGTTATGAATTTTCAAAGTTTTGAAATTTAGAGGCTTGCTGTAGCGCCACCATCAGGACTATTGTCTTGTGTTTCTAGTTGAGGACATCTGGCATGAGACTGGACCTTTATGAAAAGTTTGGGTAGATTTCTCATATGGAAATGTTGCATGAGCTGAGGCTTGAACTTACAATCTTCAACACCAAGAACCACCCTCTATCTCGCTGAGCTAATTGGCAAACAGAACATGTAGTTTCACAAATTGACTAAGCCAGTCACCTGTGTGCAAGACAGCAGCTGTTGGTGTGTAAAGGCAGAATTCAAACGGCTGTCAAAAATTCAGTTATTAAGACAAAAATCCAAAAACACACAAATTGCATCTAGACATCATGGAGATGTTGGTAATTTGTTTTTAACAATGATTTATTGGCTCCATAAGTGAAAAACTGATGTTTAAAAATGTCATTTTTGCATTGACTCCAATTGTTCACTTGTTGTTCAATTGTTCAAAATGCTGTAAAAAATTCAGTTTTTGAGATAAAATTCTGATATTTTCCAAACATCATCTACCATGACAAAATTTTGTCATTTTTTTAAATGAACATTGAAAATGTATTTAGCAAGAATTTGCAAATATATGTTTACAATACTGTTTACAGTCAAACATTTTGATGCACTGTAGGCTCAATTTTCAATAAATCAAAAATCTGTGTGGATGGTTTGTGTAGGACAGTCTGAAGATGCTCTGTAGCAAGTTTGGTGTCAATTGAGCAAAAATTGTGGGAGGAGATAGGTTTAATAAGTTTTACAGTTTTTGAAAAAAAAAGTGTGTTGATGGACTTCATAATTTGCAATAGGTTTAAATGTACAAAAGTTTCTTCAGTATTGGGGCTACATTTTGGTGAAAGTTGCAAATCTGTAGCACATATGGTTGATTTGTTGTGAATTTTCAGAATTTTGAACTTTAGAGGCTTGCTGTAGCGCCACCATCAGGACTATTGGCCTGTTTTTGCAGCTGAGGCAATCTGGCATGGGACTGGACCTTTGTGCAAAGTTTGGTGATTTTTCGTGCATGGGAAGTAGGATTTCCTTGGAAGAAGAAGAAGAAGAAGAAGAACAAGAAGAAGAACATGCAGGATAACAATAGGGTCCTGGCAGCTTAGGCTGCCCGGCCACTAATAATACAGGCAGAAAAGCACAACATGTTCATTCAGGAGAAAAGCTTAATGTTCAGACTAATATTGATGATGACGACGACAGTGATGGTGATTATTTCAGGACTTACGGGATATTGAACAGCAGCTCTTCATCTGCATCACTCTCCACATACTGAAAAAGAAAAGACAAACAAGTGTGAATCCTTTCTGAGTCATCAAAGGGAAGCAGCGGCAATAAAACAAACACTACAATCTGCACAGACACAATCAGATACTGGTTTGACTGGTTTGAAGGCCACAAAGATTTTAGTATGAACGATCACAGTGGGGCATTATTTTACAATTTTCTTACATTTTATTCACCAAATGGTTGGTCAGTTAATCAAGAAAATAATCTGCATTATAATCAATAATGAAAATCTCATCATCTTTACAAACACCAGTTATATTATTTCACATATGAATTTGACAACTTTTGCTATATTTTGACATACTAATAAAAAACTCTTATTAACATCATAATCGTGATTTCAATAGTGGTGGAATAATTATTCAATTAATTAGAAGTACCAGTACAGCAATGTAGAAATACTCAATTACAAATAAAAGACCTTTATTCAAAGTAAAACTATAGATCAGTTAAATAAACTTAAAACATTAAAAGAAAAGGCCCCTCCGAGTTATACTTTATTATATATTACATATTAGGATTCCAAATAGTGATGCACCAATGGATAGGTAGCTTTTAAATGTCATATGTCATCATGGCTGAGCTAATTTTAATTACTTGACCTCTCTGACAATATACTGCATTTCATAAACTCATATGTTTTTAATGTCATATCTTATAAACTCTTCATATGTTTTTAATGTCATATCTTAATCTGCAGAGTAACTCGGAACTGACTAATAAATGTAGAGACTAAAAATGGCAATATTAGAGATTACTGATGCAAAATAAAGATAAAGTAGGTTATAATATATTATTATAGGTTAAGCCATCCAGCAGTGCATCGTGTTATAATTAGCTCACCTTTAACAGGTGCAATACTAGGGTGATGTACATATTAATACATCAGTAATTATGATGCATTAATATGTTAAATGATTCCAAAATGGGCCATTCTATACATTAAGTACTTTTACTTTTCGTACTTTATTTTCTCCTGTACATTTTTAGGTTTATTTTTATTTTTAACCAGTGACTTACACCGTACATTACTCTTGACATTGCTACTCTAGTTTAGTTTTTGCATTTTTCCTTGGTGTTTTTTTTTTTTTTTTTTTTTTACAGTTTTTAATGATTCATTTTTAATGTAACTTTATTTCTCCTTTTCCCCTTATACTTAGTATATATAGTCTGGTTTGTCAAACATTTAACTGTGTACTTTAATGTTGTGTTTTTATGTGTTAAGCACTTTGTAACTCACAACAGAGGACACACCCTGGACCTGGTCATAACCTATGGCCTGTCCACTGTTGTGTCCTCTGTTGTTGACCTGGCTGTGTCTGACCACTACTGTGTGTATTTTAACATCACCAGTTTTAGCCATCAGGAGGCCCCAGTGAGAACAGTGAGGAAACGCTACCTAACTTCTGAAGTGGCTGCAAATTTTATCCAGATTTTACAGAGCACTCCTGCTGAAATTTTAGCTGCACCCTGTGATTTTATTGTAGACAATTTTAACATTAAATTAAAGTCAACACTTGACTCAGTGGCTCCACTTCTAACCAAAACAATAAAAAAAACCTACACCCCTGTGGAGAAATGATGATATCAAAAGACTGAAAAGAAAATGCAGGAGTGCAGAGAGGAGGTGGAGAAAAACTAAACTGACAGTTCATTTTGAAATACTATGTGAACAACTCAAATCCTACAATAAAACAGTCAAACAGGCAAGAATATCCCACTTTTCAAAACTCATTTCCGATCATAAAAACAATCCTAAATTTCTTTTCTCCACCTTCGATCTTTTAACCAGCACCAATTTTAATAAATCATCCAACATATCAACAGATGCCCTCTGCGAGGACTTTGCAGACCACTTCAGAAGTAAAATTGACAATATCAGATCCAGTCTTTTATCCCAACAGAATGTCATTTTTGACACACCTGGATCATTGCTTTTACCTGAGGAAACACTGGAGAGTTTTGCCCTGGTTGATGCAAGGACACTTGGTCGAGTTTTCTCCCAGGTAAACCCAACAACCTGCCTTTTAGATCCGATTCCCACATCATTTTTAAAGACATTCTATGGATTCTTTGAGGAACAGATTTTAAATATAGTAAATTACTCTCTTCAGACAAGTGTCTTCCCCGCTGCCTTCAAACCGCGGTGGTAAAGCCCCTTCTGAAGAAGAGTAATTTAGATCCCAACATTTTTAATAATTACCGACCTGTATCCAACTTAATGTTTTTAAGTAAGATTTTAGAAAAACTGGTTTTTAACCAAGTAAATGATTTTTTAAAAAGAAACAATATTTTAGAGAAATATCTATCTGGTTTTAGGATAAACCACAGTACTGAGACAGCCCTTTTAAAGATTTTAAATGATATCAGGTTTAATGTTGATTCACAAAAACTCACAGTCTTGGTACTACTGGATCTAAGCGCCGCCTTTGACACAGGAGATCACCACATTTTATTAAACAGACTCAGAAACCTGGTGGGCCTCTCTGGTACTGTCTTTAACTGGTTCAGCTCTTATCTCACAGATCGTTTTTTCTTTCTAAGTATGGATACATGTTCCTCCAGAACGCATGAAATCAGGTGTGGGGTGCCCCAAGGGTCAATTTTAGGTCCAATTCTTTTTAATCTATACATGCTTCCCCTTGGGGACGTCATCAGGAGGCACGGCATCAGCTTCCACAGTTATGCAGATGACACACAGTTGTACATCGCCGTGTCTCCTGATGACACAGGGCCAATTGATGCCCTTTTAAACTGTATTTTAGATATCAAGTCATGGATGGCAGTGAATTTCCTACAGCTCAACCAGGACAAAACAGAGGTCTTAGTTATTGGTCCTGAAGGCCAGAGAGAGAAACTTTTACCAAAACTACAAGATTTTAAACCTGCACAATGTGTAAAGATCCTGGGCATCATTTTTGACTCTGAGCTCAGTTTTATTCCACACATCAAAAATGTAACAAAGATAGGTTTTTATCATCTTAAGAATATAGCCAGAGTCCGCCTGTTTCTCTCTCAGGCTAACATGGAGGTGCTGATGCATGCTTTTATCTCTTGTCATTTAGATTACTGTAATGCCCTGCTGTCTGGTCTTCCCAAAAAGACCATCTCTAATCTGCAGCTACTCCAAAACTCAGCCGCACGAGTGCTGACGAGGACCAGAGGGCAGGCGCACATCACACCAGTTTTAAAGTCGCTGCATTGGCTCCCCGTGTGTTTCAGGATCGATTTTAAGGTTCTTTTATTAGTTTTTAAATGTCTTAACGGTCTTGGGCCATCTTATTTATCTGATCTGCTTTTATCATATCAACCCTCACGGATCCTGAGGTCCTCCGGCACCGGCCTTTTAATTGTTCCAAAAGTGAGAACAAAAACCTGCGGGGAGGCTGCATTCAGCCATTATGGCCCTCACTTATGGAACAGCCTGCCGGAGAACATCAGGACTGCAGAGATTGTTGATGTTTTTAAAAGGAGGCTCAAGACTCACCTTTTTAATCTGGCTTTTAACTGATTTCTTTTACTATTTTAATTCTTCTATTATATGTTCTTTTTACTTTCTAATGCTTTAAAATGATTTATTTTTAAATCTTTATGCATTTGATTATTATTAAGTTTCTAAATCTTCATTTATTTATTTATTATTAATAATATTATTTTAAACTTTAAATCTTTAATTTTTTATAAATCCTTACACTTTTATGCATTTTATCATTATTTTATCTCATACTTGTTTTATCTTATCATATTGCCTTTTAGTTTTTAGTTTTTAGCTCCAGTGTTTCCTCATGGGGGGCCTCCACACTGAGAGGTGTGTCCAGTCTGCCCGCAGGGACGTCGTCCTGGACATCCCTCAGGCCTAGAGTACTGGGGGGCTCTGCACCATGTGTGGAGCCTACCTCGGTTTGTCTGGGTCGGGGTGGTCTCTGAGGTGGTGCTGCCTGTGGCCGTAGGCTGTGACACCTCTCAGTGTGGATGGCTCCCCATAGGTGGCTCTTTCCTCACCTGGTTCCTCAGTGCCCAGCCATGTTGTTGACTATATTGACTCTGGTTTTCAATATGTAGCATTTTTGTTTGTTTTTTTATTCTGTGAAGCACTTTGTGCTGCATTTTTAATGTATGAAAAGTGCTATACAAATAAAGTTTGATTTGATTGATTTGTAATGTTGTTTTTGATTAACGCTATACAAATGAACTTTATTTTAATAATAATGAGTATTATTTAAGTATATTTTGATGCCAATACGTTTTAACTCTTACTAATGTAAGGATTTTAAATGCAGGATTCTTACTTGTATTTTTACACAATACCGTTGTTACATTTATTCAAGTAAATGGATCTGAACACATCACACTAAAAATAACAATACTCATGTAAAGTACAAGTACCTATTTTACATTTTTTGCACCACTGGATTTCAACCATATTGCTCAACCCTCAGTGAGGTAAGTGACAGGACTGCAGACTCATGTCATTTGGCAGCTTCAGTGATGTCAATAAAGTTGTGTTACATTTAACAACTGCGCAGCTCCACGGCGAAGCTTCTCGACAAACGCCCTTGCAGACCTGCACCTACATCTTCACCCGAGAGACAGAGTCAGGGAACACCCATGAGACTTCTGCTGCTAATATACACCACAGTGGACAGAGACAGTACCACTGACCGGGGCAGAGGCTCTGTTCGGCCGTTACCTTGTCCCGCTCATTCCGCCGATCCCACGGTTTGAACACCAGCTTCCCGTCCCCGTCTCTGCTCTCGTTCAGACACTGCAGCTTCTCCACGTCGATCCGCCGGTACAGTCCGTACTCCAGGCCCCTCTCCGCGGGCTCATGCTCCCCCTCGCACCCGCAGCCGTGCCCGTGCCCATGATCGTGACCGTGCCCGGACATCGTAGGGCTTAAAGCACTGTTTTCTGTTGCAGTTGGTTTAGGCAGAGACGGGTGGCTGACAGGCGTCGCTAGTTCGGCGTGTTTTCACAAAGTAAACTGCGATCAGCAAGTTTCGCTTGGCGGCCTGAAGCGAACTAAAGTCTGCGTCACGCAAACAGACAGCAGGAGTGTACTTCCGGTTTAAGATTTTCAAGATAAAACAAGCTGTTTCCCTGATATTTAAGGACGAGGGCTGAGAGTACTACATTTACATAACTTGCTCGGCCCTGTTTGTCTGGATTTAGAAAGGGACAAAAGTAGCATTTAAGGAAAATAAACATACTTGAGTAGCATTAGGAACTACACTTATCACGAGGAAAGTGTTGTGAAATGAAAACAGACTTTGTGACATATCACATTATATATGTCTGTGGAATTAAATACAAATGTCCTGCAATAATCCCTGAAACTCTGGGAGAAAATAGGATTATTTAGATTGCATTGCATTGTTTCATATTGTAATTGGTATATTTTGTTTCTATTGATCCCATAATGTCTTAATCATTCAATACAAATAAATTGGGCCCCCATAAAAAATAGCCTTAGACATGTAGGATATATATTCAACCATGTATCCAGTAAGTTGTTTTGAGATTAATCAGAACCAGAGTAAGGTTTATTACCCAGGTTTACACATACAAGGAATTTACCTTGGTGTGTATATAAACATATTAAGAGGACATGAAATAAAAGCAAAGCACTGCAAAAGTAAAGACAAATGAAGATAGATTAAAAAAAATTACAATAGAAATATGTGTAGTGTTAGGGTGTTGTGTCCAGAATGGAAAGGATTGGCCACAGTATTTTCCCGCCTCGATGGCTGGGAAATAATACAGTTTTAAATATAGTTTTAATGGCAAGTTCAAGTTCTTTAAAATGTACATGATATTTCACATTAAGCAGCCAAAACATTAAGCAAATCAGAGTGGCAGTGAACATTAACATAACATTTGTGGAATGAATTTACCAACCTAAAGCTCAGGCTTTCAGATGACACCATTATAAATGTGATAAAATATTCTTAACTCAATATTCACTAGCTTTTTTCGGCGCTTACAACTGTTGATGTTTTTTTATAAAGTGGCTGTTAGTGTAATCTCCTTTCTCTTTGAACGACACGCAGATATTTTATTTTGAAGGGAATGAGTGTCCCGCAGGAAATCATCCTCTACAACTCTGTAGTCACTTTACAAAAGTCATGTGCTCTCTGATTGGCTAAAATCTCTGACCACCAAACGTCAATACTGTCGCCAACAGTTTACCATAGTGTCGTAAAGTGAAAGAAAACACATCAAACCACAAAAACTTCCTACACTAACAATATTCTGCTTTAAGTCAAATCGGTGCATCACAATATATTGTGTATTTCACATGTAAATCTAGTTGATTACTGGTGACAGACAACTAATACAAGGGTGTAAGTACAATATGGATTGGTAACCCCATAAAATAATTAAACAGTTCTTGTGGGTGAATAAGTATTTAGACCATGTACAAAAAAAGTTCCAATATTACAATGTAAGAATACTCTGTTATATGGAAAATTCTATGCATTAAAATTCTTACTTAAGTAAAAGTACAAAAAGTATCAGCATCGATTATACTAAAAGTACCAAAAGCAAAAGTACTCATTCTGCAGAATGAGATAAAACATATAGCCTATATAGGCTATTATCATTGTTGATGAAGGGAGAGATTTAATTCATCAAAATATTTGATGATTTGTTAAATAAATTACATTTCATATTAATAAATTATTACTGAAGATGTGTACCCTGGATCACCCTCCAAAGGAGAGAGCCCACCGGAAAACTCCACTGTGTCAGCCTCGTCAAGTGTATTCTCTAGGTACGTGCTCGCACTTAAAGGACTGTTTACATCTTGTCCTGTGTTTTGGAAACCTGCAATGTTATTTAAACTGTCAAATAAATGGAGTTAAAAGTGCAATACTGGCTTCTAAAATGTTATGGAGTAGAAGGTAGAAGTACAAAGTAACATCAAATGGAAATACTAATTTTGCTGTATCATTGTGAACTATGACCGATTAAATCTAACCACTGAAAGGTTACCATCTATTTAGATCCTGGACATTGATAAGAGGTATTTGAAACAAAGAAATAAACTCACAAAATCTAGGTTTAATTAGGAAAAATACCACAATACATCATTCAGGGATAACAATATACTAAACAATATACTAACAACTCTTTATTTAGGCCTACAGGACTCTCTTGAGTGACAATTTTTCCATATTACTGTACTTCCTTTTTGGCAGACTTTATGAATTTGTTCTGTAATTTAAAGAGAAAATGCAGACACAAAGCAATACTCCTTTCTCGTGTTCAATAGAGAGCATACAGAACGTTAGTGTTGCTTGATAAAACACCATCACACAAAAAGATTCCTGCACACATGCTCTTTAAGGGCAAAAAGTCAATTTTAATAAAAATGACCGTAGAACATTTATTAAAATCTAATAAAATTACAGTTTTTATTCTACTTCCTTTTGGGCCCATGTTGTGGGGTGCCAGGTCCCAGGGTTGAAAATAAATACATCTCATCATTGTTGTTGACCGAAGCTGCAGGCATCCTTTTAACTTTCCTTTCTTATTATGTTTAAGTGTTGTTCTTCTTCTCTTCCTGCAGTCTCATCAGCACTCACTCAAGCTAATTGTCACAGTGAAGCAGATATAAACAGGGACACACACATTCAACAGCAGGAAAAGATGATCTGGAGCCACAGGAGGGTTAAAATAACTCTACAATGTGTCTCTCTGTGTATTTGTGTAGTTCATCGATATCATTTTAGCCCTACACATTTAAGAATGCACCGTGATTAAAGATTCATGTGTTTGTTTTTTAAAAAGCAGAGACTTTAACCAGCCGGCTGATGTCTTGGCTGACGTGCATCATGCATGCCACTGAGATTAAAAAAAGCCTGTGTAAAGGTTTTCCTCATGTAGTGTATCATTTCATCGTAATGAAAAGTAACAAACAACTATTCTTTAAATTAAAATAATCTGTTTTTTATGTCCCATAAAGAAAAAAAGTTTGATATTTTAGAAGAAGAACCCTTTTTTGCTTTCTTACCAAGAGTCAGATAAGAAGATCGACACCACTCTCACATCTGTATGTTTAATATAAAGCTGGAAATCAGCTGTTGGCTAACTTAGCTTAGCATAAAGACTGGAAACGGGGGTAATCAGCCAGCCAACTGCCAGCACATCTAAAGCTCACTCAGTAACATGTTATGTCTCATTTGTTTAATATGAACAACAACATGTAGTTTCTTGTTTAAAGGTGACAGTTCAAAGTTTAGAAGGGGTAAGGTACTAAACTATTCTAGGTGATTCCAAATGTTCTGGTGAAGAAATAGTTTTGCACATAGCCCCCCAGTAAAACTACAAATTGTCCTTTTTACACGAGATAGCACATAAATTAAAAATATTTAGCTTTAGTGGTGCTGGTAGGCAGAGATTGTTCCCTTTAGACAATCTGGCTGTTTCCCTCTATTTCCAGCATTTGTGCTAAGCTATGCTAAACTAAGCTAAGCTATGCTAAACTAAGCTAAGCTAAGCTAACTGTCTGCTGTCTGTTGCTTCGTATTTAGCGTACAGATATGCAAGGGGTATCAATCCTCAGTTTTAGCTCTTGTTAACAAAGCAAACAAGTGTAATCCCCAAAAATCGAGCTGTTCCTTTTGAAAAAGAAGCCAGAAAACAAGAAAAAGTAACAGACTGTGTGTTGTCCTTTGCATGTTGTAAAAAGTCGGTGACTTGAATTTCTTAAAACAGACGTCACCACACTCACTGACCGTTATTTAGGATTTAAATACTCATTTCATTTTAAGATCCCTCTCAGAACAAATGCCACCATTTAAATACGTTTGTTTGTTTTAAATTAACCATATTTCTACTGAAAAGTTCATATGATATGTTTGGTGGGTAAAGACAATGGTGTATGTGTGTGTGTGCGCAGGAATGAGGGGGTCTCCAGTAAAATTTCTGCTAAAGTTAAATTAAAAACACAGTTGGAATTCATAAAATACATTCAGTCTCTTTCACACTATCGGCGGGAGAATCTGTTCTTGAAAGCTTTGATAGTTTTGGCCATCATGGGGGCGATTTCTGCGAAAGGAGGAAGAACAAAATCGTTTGTGAGATTTTAAGAGCTCAAAACACAATTCTGGCTCTTTTTATGATCCTATCTTCAGGAGCGTTAAATCACACTTACTTTTGACCTGTGGCTTGTCCCGAGCGGCAGGTCCTCCTCCACCTCCAGCTCCTCCTCCTCCGCCGCCTCCGCCTCCTCCGCCTGGTGCTGAGGAGCGAGAAAAGCTGGTTGAAGGGTTTTGTTGAGAGGAGGAGGAGGAGCGACCCATTTCACCAGAGTAATCTATAGTAGCGGGTCTTATTCTGAAAGATAGAGGAAGAGAAAGAAAAGCCTGTGACTGTGCTCAATCTTTAATAGTGTGCCACAAAGTCCTAAACTAACCAAGAAGTGCACCAAGAAGTCCCCCCCCCCCAACTAACTGATTTATGATTTAGTCTATAAAATGTAGAAAGACAGTAAATGATTCTTACATTTTAAAAGCTGAGAACAGAGAATTAATTTTATTTTTTCCTTTGTAAATCACATAAATAATTTATTAATTGTCAAACTTGTCAATCTTTTTTTTTGTGGTTTGACCATCAACTAACTCAGAACTTAATGCTAATGCTGTCTTTACAATATGCATTTGTCCAGAACAAGTTTGGGTTTGATTAATTAATAGTAGGTGTATACCTATCTTGAAATTTCTGTGTGTCACTATTATTGATGAAATTTGAGAATACAAAAAATGTATAATATTCATCAAATTAAAAATTTGCATAGGCTTACTTTACAAACAACTTGCACCGATTCAAAGGGACAGTGTGAGATTTAGGGGGATTTAGTGGCATATAGCAGTGAGGATTGAAAGATTGCAACCCGCTGAAACTTCTCCTGGTTAGAATTCCTTCAGTGTTCATTGTTCAGGAGGTTTTTAGCAGGAACTAAATTATCCGCAGAGGTCTCGTCCTCTCAAAAACAAACAGACCAGATTATTAAAACCTGTACAAACACTGAATACAG